GTTATTTTGTCACTTATAAATAATTTTATATTCACCAAAAATGTTTCAAAAGTGTTTTTTAGTCATAATTTTTTATTTTACATTTTTATTCATAAATTTTTTTTAATATCTTTAGAAAATATTTACGATATAACTTTAAGACGTAGTTAATTTTATATAATAATTCAATTATTTGAGTATATTATAATAATAATTTAATACATAAACGTAATAAAATATATTTGTTGAAAATGAGTTCTCCCGCGATATCGCGGGGTTCATAACCTAGTATATATAGAGAACTACATAATTTATCATAAACCACACATTTTAATAGTATATCAACAAAAAGGAACAATAATAGCTATCTCTAACTCTACCTTGTATTACAAAAAATGAAAATTTTAAGGTTTTTCTAAGCATTTTTAATTAGTAATTAATGATGAAATTTTTTTTACTAAGACATTTATTTTGGTTGGAATTTTTTAGAATTAAATGTTGATGTTTGTTGTTAAAAATTTAATTCATTAAATAAAATAAAATAAAAAACTAAAATGTTTTAAAAGTAAACTAATGCTTTTCTAGTATCAAACTTTGTTAATTTTTAAATTAATTTTATGTGCATTAAGAAAAATCTAAAAATTTAATATATATGAAAATCTAAATTGTTAATTTGGTAATAATAAGGGAAGTTAAAAATATCAAAATTTGGTAACTATGTATTAGAAGAAATTTAGATGTGTGTGATAAGTAATTTAAAGAGAATGAAGGTTTGAAAAATTGTGTTTAATGAATTTGATAGTAGAATTAAATAATTAAAAATTAAAAAAGCTGAGAAGAAAATGTGGAATTGCCACATAAACACTAAAAATTATTTTAATATAGGAAGACTCACAAAAATGCCCCTTTTTCAATACCCCTTTTCAAAAATGCCCCATTTGGATGTCAATTTTTAAAAATACCTCTTTTTATGTATAAAATGACTAAATTACCCTTCTATTAATAAAAGATATCATAAATATATAAAGAAATATAACAAAATTAGATCCACAAAATACAAAATATTTTCCCCCTATACACTCATAAAGTTTTTGTTTTCAGCATTGTGGCCACAGAAAAAGTAGAATCATTTTGTACAATTTCGAGGACAGATTTTGTCATCTAATGCCATAATTCAAAATTATTTGTCTCTTTTCTCTCAATATCTCAATTATTTTAAGTTTTCTCGATCTTTTAAACTCTCACCATCTTTTTTAAAGTTCTTCACTTTCACTTCCCAAATTCCCAAAATATGAAGATCCAAATACTCTGTTTCACCACTCTGTTCTTAGCTATCTTCACCCCTCAAGTCACCACTGCTTACAAATTCAAATTCGATTACTTTGGTAATGGTACTGATCTAATATCATTCCATGGTGACGCTGAGTATGGTCCTGACACTGATGGCATGAGCCGGTCCGGAGCCATCGCATTGACTCGAGACAACATCCCTTTCTCTCATGGTCGAGCTATTTTAACCACTCCAATCACTTTCAAGCCTAATGCTTCAGCTCTTTACCCTTTTAAAACCTCTTTCACTTTCTCCATTACTCCTAAAACAAACCCTAATCAAGGTCATGGCCTTGCCTTCATCGTCGTCCCAAGTAACCGAAACGACGCCGGTTCCGGTTTAGGCTATCTCAGTCTTCTGAACCGAACCAACAACGGTAATCCTAATAACCACCTTTTTGCCGTTGAATTTGATGTCTTTCAAGACAAATCTCTTGGCGACGTGAACGATAACCATGTCGGAATCGATATTAATTCGGTTGATTCGGTGGTTTCTGTGAAATCCGGTTATTGGGTTATGACAAGAAACGGTTGGTTGTTTAAGGAATTGAAGTTGAGTAGTGGAGATAGATACAAGGCTTGGATTGAGTACAACAATAATTATAAAGTCATCTCTGTTACGATTGGTTTGGCGCATTTGAAGAAACCGAACCGGCCATTGATTGAAGCAAAATTCGATCTTTCCAAGGTTATTCACGAGCAAATGTATACCGGTTTTGCCGGTTCGATGGGTCGTGGTGTCGAGCGTCACGAGATTTGGGACTGGACTTTCCAGAACTAAAAAACCGGTTCGGTTTGTTTCTGGTTTACTCTCTGTCGTGACTTCAGCTTGTGATAATTGAAGTGAAATAAATGTACCTTACCGACATTGTGATGAAGTATTATTGTTGTCAGATTAGTAGAAATCAAGGACGTTTAATTCCTGATTTAGTACTCCTTCCGTTTCGTTTTAGTTGTCGTTTAAGGTTTTCTCACACAAATTAAGAAAAACATTGAATTTTCTGTTTTACCTTTTATTAATATATTTTATAAAAAAATTCATTGGCCGAAACATTAAAACAGTAGGGATAAAACTGGAATTTTCACGAAACATTTGCATCGAAAACCTAAAACGACAACTATTATGAAACAAAATTTTAACTCTAAAACGACAAGTAAAACGAAACGGAGGGAGTACTGTATATCCTAATCTTCTGTTTCAATACTTTTAAACACACTTCTCGTTGGCCAAAAAATATAATGATTTAAGTGAACCGTGGACAATAATAGATAGTGTTGGGTGAGATTCGCAAGATTTTTTTTGTAGGTCTGGACGTTCTGATACCCGTTAGGGTTTGGTTCGGTTTCATTCGGTTACGGTTCTAGAGTTGATGATCCATTCAGATATTTTAGAATTTTGTTTCGGTTTCGGTTTTTTCGGTTTTAAAATTTTAGTATACATTCGAATATTTTGTTTCAGATATTTTCGGTTCGGACATAGAACATCACATACTTTCAACTGCGACGATAAGTTTGCTAGAATAGAATTTGATGTTTTTTTGGGTGGAGGATCGTGTTAGGCAATAGTGATCCTCCCATGAGCCAAATGAAACATTTATATTTTTGATTATTCTCAAAATACTTATATTATTCTTTTTACCAAACATCTGCGGATCCAATCACACGATCTTACCTAGAACCTCAATAGTTTTTAGGCGCCTCAAAAAAGCAGTAACTAATAGGTACCCGAATTTGAAATTTTCTGCAACAGTAAACTTTCAATTTTCTAAGACTTTAAAAGTTATTGGCATTTTCTTGCAACTGTCCAAAAATACCAAAACATTTTATTTTATTTCTGCGTTTGGGCTCCCTAAATGTCAGGGCCTACTCTAGCTAAAGCCTAAATGTAAGTTTATTGGGCTTTAATGATAAATATATATAAGTATTTTGTTCTTTCGTTTTTTCCATCGATCTTTCAAGGATTTTTAGTAATAAAATCCCTCAAGTAAAGATAAATAGTAAGAAAATCCCTCAATTATATATTTAGTGAAAAAATCCATCAACTTTGAATATGTTCATGCAAATTCCCCTCTGTCCATAGTGTCGTAAAAATTGGACGGACTACAGTTCAAATTAAAACGTAACATTTTCCAGAATCTCTCCTAATCGACTTCTACACCACACAAGCTTCAGAGAATCTTACTATGATAAATTATGGTTCATCAATTTAGATTTTTTCACTTAGAGAACTTTAGAGCTTAGGTTTGAGGATTTATAATCAGATAGAAGAAGATTTTGTTGTTTTTGTTTACAATTCATGTTGTTTAAGTGTATATATGTCGTTTTTCAGTTTCAATTTAACTGTAATCCGTCCAATTTTTATGATAACGGAGACGAAGGGGAATTTTCATGAACATATTTAAAGTTGAGGGGTTTTTGCACTAAATATATAGTTGAGGGGTTTTTTTTACGATTCATCTTTAGGTGAGGGGTTTTATTACTAAAAACCCATCTTTGAAAGGAAAAACATACTTAGCTACACGAAGTATGCTATAATACATGGACACACATCCGAAGTTGAAAAATGTATCTCTAACTACACAAATTATATGTATCACATGCCCACATATACGAACTATATATTCATGTCGCCAACATCACAAACATTTTTTTCCGATACATTTTTCGCCGGAATTCGGTATTAACCAGTTTGACCGGCGTTGACCAACATAAATATTCAAAAAAAAAAAAAAATTAGCTTTTTAATATTTAGAAAATTATGTTATTGAATCATTTATAATATTATATAATTAAAAAAGTATATACAATATTCAATATAAAAATATTTTATATATATTCAATGCATTGATTTTTATAATTAGTTAGTTTCGATAATTTCAAAACTAAACTAAAAATAAAATAAAAACCAATTAGGTAAAATAATTGTAAATATGAAATTTTCTATACTCTCTAGTCTAAAGTTTTTTGTATAATATGTTGTTAATTTTTGTATATAAAATTATTACGAAAAATTCTTTTAATAATACAAAAAAAAATAACAACATATTAAAAAAAAAACTTTAGACTAGAGAGTATTTAAAATTTTCTATTTATAATTATTTTGCCTAATTGGTTTTTGTTTTATTTTTAGTTTAGTTTGAAATTATTGAAACTAACTAATTATAAAAATCAATGCATTGAATATATATACACAATATTTTTATATTGAATATTGTATATATTTTTGTAATTATACAATATTATAAATGATTCAATAACATAATTTTCTAAATATTAAAAAACTAATTTTTTTTTTTTTAATATTTATGTTGGTCAACGCCGGTCTAACTGGTTAATGCCGGATTCCAGCGAAAAGTGTACCGGAAAAAAATGTTTGTGATGTTGGCGACATGACTACATATAGTTCATATATATAAGCATGCGATACATATAGTTTGTGTAGTTAAAGATACCTTTTTAACCTTCGGATGTGTGACCATGTATCGTAGCATACTTCGTGTAGCTAGGTATTTTTTCCCATCTTTTAATTCGGAAATTAATGGGTTATGATTAAAAACGTGAGTCTATTCATGTGTCCAGTTGGCGCTATCAAATTTGACCCATATACATGTCTGAAAAGTCAAAGTTGATGGCTCATTGGCTTTTGTCACCCCTATATATAACAACAGTATAACACCGCCGCTTCCACTGCGGCACGGCCATACACCAAAAACAAAACATACACAATAAAATACACGTACACAAACTCATAATGCAGATCCAAAAACTCTGTTTTTTTGCTCTGTTCATATCTTTGTTCAGCGCCAAAATGATAAATTGATGAGAGTAAAGAACACAAAAGTGTTTAGGAAGAATTATAATAAACTCTCATAAGAATAAAGTTACAAAATACATTCTCTTATATAGAGATGAGATTAATCTAAGTTTCCTAATTTATGATAAATATAAATGTAAATAATACTTTAAAGATAAATGTAAATATTCCTAAACTAATTTATGATAATCTTCTAGATCCTTCTCGATCTTCATGATTTCCATAATCTTGGGCGATCATCTCGATCGTCGATCTCGGTCGATCTCCGGTTCTCCCAATACCCCCCGGCAAGCTCATACGTGGTTACACGTTTGAGATTGGACAAGTCTTCAGAATAACGGCTTTTATACCCGGCCGTCGGGTCATCATCGACGTTTATACCCGATCGAAGGGTTCAAAGCGGCTACAATACCCAGCTGTTAGGTCATCGACGTTTATACCCGATCGTAGGGTTCAAAGCGGCTACAAAACCCAGCCGTTAGGTCATCGACGTTTATACCCGATCGTAGGGCTCAAAGCGGCTACAAAACCCAGCCGTTAGGTCATCGACGTTTATACCCGATCGTAGGGTTCAAGTAATAAAAATATCACCCGCGATTGCGAGGTTCGGATGTTGCTCGCGATGGCGAGACTAAAAAAAAACAACTCACGAGGGCGAGTAGTTTAATCAAAAGGAGAAGTTAAACTCGCGAGGGCGAGAAAACATCATTGTTCCCGAAACTGATTTTTTTTTTTCTTTGCGGAAGCTAACGTAACGGATCCAAAATCCACAGAAAGGATCTTGGCTCTGATACTATGATAAATTGATGAGAGTAAAGAACACAAAAAGTGTTTAGGAAGAATTATAATAAACTCTCATAAGAATAAATTTACAAAATACATTCTCTTATATAGAGATGAGATTAATCTAAGTTTCCTAATTTATGATAAATATAAATGTAAATAATACTTTAAAGATAAATGTAAATATTCCTAAACTAATTTATGATAATCTTCTAGATCCTTCTCGATCTTCATGATTTCCATAATCTTGGGCGATCATCTCGATCGTCGATCTCGGTCGATCTCCGGTTCTCCCAATACAAAACCATTTCCGCCGTCAAATTCAACTTCAACCATTTCGACGGTACAGATCTAATCTTCCTCGGGTACGCGGAGCTGGGACCAGCAACCGATGGCATGAGCCGGTCCGGAGCTCTCTCCATGACCCGTGACAAAAATCCTTTCTCACATGGTCGAGGTCTCTACACAGATCTAATCCCATTCAAATCTTCCAACAACATTTCTTCTTCTGTTTACTCTTTTAAAACATCTTTCACTTTCTCTATCACTCCTCGCCGGTCAAACCCTAACCCTGGTCATGGTCTCGCCTTCATCGTGGTCCCAACCATACACTACGACCAAGACTCAACCCGTGGCTTCCTTGGTCTAGTTAACCGCACAACCAATGGCAATCCTAATAACCATCTTTTTGCGGTTGAATTCGATGTTTTCCAAGACAAACGTTTTGGTGATATTAATGATAATCATGTTGGTATCAATATTAACTCTGTTACCTCAAAAGTTTCTGAGAAAGCTGGTTATTGGGTTCAGACAAGAACTGGAGGAAACAATCAATGGTTGTTTAAGGAAGTGAAGCTTAGTAGCGGAGATAACTACAAAGCTTGGATCGAGTACAAGAACAGTAAAGTCATTGTTTGGCTCGCACCTGCCCATTTAAAGAAACCGAAGAGGCCATTGATCGAAACACAAGTTGATCTCTCTGAGGTGGTTCTTGAAACAATGTATACTGGTTTTGCTGGTTCGATGGGTCGTGGCATCGAGCGTCACGACATTTGGAGCTGGAGTTTCGAGAACACCGCCAAAAACAACTAGTTCGGTTTAATTTATTTTATTTTGGTTTGATTTATGTTTTGGTTTTGTTCTCTTTGTCACCGGTTTAACAATTTTCCTATTTTCTCTTGAATTTATTCAAAAGTGGTTTAAAAGAGAGTACAAAATGTCAAAATCAAATTAAAATTACTTTTATCGATTGAAACTAAAATTTTCTTCCCGGACCATCACCTTAAGAAATCTTCGTGATCATCACTGATATTGTATTAATGAAGACTCGTTAACCAAAGCACAACCACGTGATGTTGTGTTCATGATACTCATCAGATTGAATCGTTTATTTATGTCATCACGAAAGCAAACGAACTCTAATTTATACCATGATAAAATTGGTGAGAATAAAAAGTTAAAAACACAATAATTTTTATGAAAAATTATATTTAGATTCTAAAAAATATAATAATTGATAAAAAAAAAAATATGTTTATATTCCCTCCGTTCCTTTTTATTTGATGTTTTAGGAGAATGCACACAGATTAAGAAATCATTTAATTTTTGTTTATTTCTAAACTTAAACATCATTTATTATCTAATCAACCAATAGAAAAACAATCTGCATAATATAATTCGTCAAAACCAATAAAAACGAATTAATATTGTATTGAAAACCGAAAATATATATTTAAGAACAAAAACAAAAGCTTAAAACATTATTTATAAAAGAACGGAGAGAGTATAAAGATAAAATTAACCTAAATTTCTTAAACTAAAATAAACAAAAATGTAAATAATATATTAAAAAATATCTCTAAGTTCCTAAACTAAGATATTTGACAAGTCCACTATATATGAGCTATCACCGTTGCTAGATCGTATCACTTTTTACACAAATGTTCATTATCTTTCATATGGTTTCAATAAAAACCAGAAATATTATTTCATTGATATGGTTTCATAATCTCTAAATCATAGAAAAATAAAAAACACGTGGCGTGTCCGGACGCATGTCTCAATCCATTCCATGGAAATGGAAACTCCCCTCTGGTCATTAAATGCTCCCACCAATACATTCTCTTTCCCTTCCCCAAAACCAATAATACAAACAATTTTGTTTTTCTTATTCAAAGATTTTCAAAGTACAATCATTTCTTTAGGTACTCTTTCTTCTAAATCTTCATTATATTTATCAACAAATTTATATTTATTTTTTGGTCATTATAAATTCCTAATGTAGCCTTACAAAAATGTATAATATGATTTGGACCACAACATAATTTAAACATTCCTCTTTGAAGAAAATTGGTCATTCTTTTTTAAAATTACATTTCACTTTGACCCCATGGGTTACTTATATTTACATATTTGGCCCAAAACTAAAATACGAAAAAAGGTTTTAGCTTTACGTTCTTTTGATTTCCTAGGTCGTGGTTTCACCACGTTGCTTGCGTGAAAAGAGAAGCGAAAGATAATCAAAAAGCGAAAAATAATCAACAAAACCCTCACTGTGAAGTAAAAATCGTAGGCCCAAAATAGATTTTCTTCGCCAAGAATTTAATTTTTATGAATCTGATTATTGCTTTTCTACGAACTCTCTGTTTGCGAGATGTGTGGTTGTCAAAAAAGGATCGTTTCTTCGGTGCCTCTTAGTCTACTTCTTCTTATCTTCTTCTTTGCTTTTCTTTTTATTGCTTCTCTATATAGAGAGTTTAGTGGTCAAGAACCTTACCTGCCTCGTGTTTGTCTCTTTATGTAATCAAAGGTTGCATTTTTATTCGAATATATTTTCTGATTTTGGTGTTTTCTGTCAAAGGGTCTTTTAAAAATCTTAACTTTCGTTCTAAATTTCTTTACTTTTTTTTTCGATTAGGGTTTTTGGGATGGGATCATGGAATGAAGTATTGGAGAATCCAGAGGAGTTTATTTGGTAATTTCTGGTAATCAAATGAAGGGTTCTTCAGAATCTAATTCCAGAGGATTAAACAACACATCTGGTGTTTCAGAGTTTTGTACTGATGGTTCTAAGTCTTTGTCTCACATTGATTATGTCAGAAGCTTACTTGGTTCACACAAAGAAGATAACTTGGTTGGACTTGATGATGACTCTATTGTTAGAGCTTTGGAATGTGAGGATGTTAGCTTGCGTCAGTGGTTAGACAATCCAGACCGATCCGTTGATGCCTTTGAGTGTTTTCACGTTTTCAGACAGATTGTTGAGATTGTGAATGCAGCTCACTCTCAAGGCATTGTTGTTCATAATGTTAGGCCTTCTTGTTTCGTTATGTCTTCGTTTAACCATGTTTCGTTTATCGAATCTGCTTCTTGTTCTGATTCCGGGTCTGATGAGGATGCAACAACAAAGTCTCGAGAGATTGGTAGCTCGAGAAAAGATGAGTTTCTATTAGAGGAAGTAACGAAGCAACCTTTCCCTATGAAACAGATATTAGCAATGGAGATGACTTGGTATACAAGTCCTGAAGAAGATAATGGTTCTCCGAGTAATTGTGCTTCTGATGTTTATCGTCTTGGTGTTCTTCTCTTTGAGGTTTGTGCATAAGAAGATTGATTTATGTTCTTAATTGCTATGTTTTCTTGAGAAAACTGATTTGATAAATGTTAGTTTTTGTGCAGCTATTTTGCCCTGTCTCCTCAAGAGAAGAGAAGTCAAGAACTATGTCTAGTTTAAGACATCGTGTTCTTCCACCTCAGATATTGCTCAATTGGCCTAAAGAAGCTTCCTTTTGCTTGTGGTTACTGCATCCTGAGCCTAGCTATCGACCATCGATGAGGTGATTGATTCTCTCTTTGATGTTTTAGTTTCATTGGGAAAAGTTTTGTGCTTTCAAGAGTATTGACTCATTTGTCTTTACTGGTGCAGTGAGTTGCTACAAAGTGAGTTTATTAACGAACCTAGAGAGAATTTGGAAGAACGTGAAGCTGCGATGGAGCTACGAGATAGAATCGAGGAACAAGAGTTATTGCTAGAGTTCTTGTTTCTGATTCAACAGAGAAAACAAGAAGCTGCAGACAAATTGCGGGATACGATATCGCTTGTTTCTTCTGATATTGATCAAGTCGTAAAGCGACAGTTGGTTTTACAGCAAAAAGGGAGTGATGTCCGTTCGTTTTTGGCCTCAAGAAAACGGATTAGACAAGGAGCCGAGACCGCTGCGGCAGAGGAAGAAAATGATGAGGAGGAATCTAAGCTTGATGATACTCTAGAGAGTACACTACTTGAAAGCTCTCGGTTAATGAGAAATTTGAAGAAACTGGAATCAGTCTACTTTGCAACGCGATACAGACAGATCAAGGCTGCTGCTGCTGCTGAAAAACCGTTGGCTAGATATTATTCGGCATTGAGTAGTAACGGTAGAAGTTCAGAAAAAAGTTCAATGAGCAGCCCGGCTCAACCACCAAAAGATCCTATCAATGATTCTAGACAGGGCGGTTGGATCGATCCATTCCTTGAGGGTTTGTGCAAGTATTTATCTTTTAGTAAGCTAAGAGTGAAAGCGGATTTGAAACAAGGAGATTTGTTGAACTCGTCTAATCTTGTTTGCGCAATTGGGTTTGACCGTGATGGGGAGTTTTTCGCCACGGCTGGCGTCAACAAAAAGATCAAGATATTTGAATGTGAGTCGATAATAAAAGATGGCCGGGACATTCATTACCCGGTTGTGGAACTTGCTAGCCGGTCTAAGCTTAGTGGTATATGTTGGAACAGTTATATTAAGAGCCAAGTCGCATCAAGTAACTTTGAAGGCGTGGTTCAGGTAAGTTCACGATTGAGAACAAGAAATAGTAGGAGAAAACTCTCAACCTTATAACTAAGATTAATAATTTCATAGGTTTGGGATGCTGCAAGAAGCCAGTTGGTTACAGAGATGAAGGAGCATGAGAAGCGTGTATGGTCCATAGATTATTCATCAGCAGATCCAACATTATTAGCCAGCGGTAGTGACGATGGTTCGGTTAAGCTCTGGAGTATCAATCAGGCAACATTCTAAACTAAACCAAAACGTATTTAGTTATTTGAGGGATGTATTTTAACGGTTGAGTTTGTTTTACTCTCTTTTCAGGGGGTTAGTATTGGAACCATCAAGACAAAGGCAAACATATGTTGTGTCCAGTTTCCGTCAGAGTCGGGTCGGTCTTTAGCATTTGGTTCAGCAGATCACAAAGTTTACTACTATGATCTAAGGAACCCCAAGCTTCCTCTTTGCACAATGATTGGCCACAACAAGACCGTGAGTTATGTCAGATTTATGGATTCATCAACACTTGTGTCGTCTTCTACGGATAACACGCTGAAGCTATGGGATTTATCAATGTCTATTTCCGGTGTTAACGAAACGCCTCTTCACTCATTCATGGGACACACTAATGTTAAGGTACCTTTGTACTTCGTTTCTTTTTCTTCTTCATTCCAAGCCTGCTTTCTGAGGTTATTAATACATTTCTGTTCTTGCAATGTGTGTAGAACTTTGTTGGATTATCGGTCTCTGACGGGTATATAGCTACAGGCTCGGAGACTAATGAGGTATGTCTACTCTCACTTCAAAAATATACATAAAAAAGGAAGAAACTTTGATCCCAGCTTGACTTTCTTGTACTTCACTGGACAGGTTTTTGTATACCACAAGGCATTTCCAATGCCGGTTTTGTCTTACAAGTTCAAAACTATAGACCCTGTGTCAGATCTCGAAGTAGACGATGCCTCGCAGTTCATATCCTCGGTCTGCTGGCGGGGACAGTCCTCGACCTTAGTCGCTGCAAACTCCACTGGCAACATCAAGATTCTGGAGATGGTATGAACCAATATGGCTCAGAAGCAAAATGGTAATTTTCAAGGGTTTGGATTGGTATAGGAAACAATTTTTGGGAGAGAGAGAGTAGGAAAAGTGAAAACATTGTTGCTACTAAAGAATTGTGTATATAGAAGAATATATAATCTTTGTATTTGTATAGTACTTATTGTAAACCCTAATGAGACCAGTGGGTAACTTAACATACACGTAATATAGTTAATCACTTCAAAAGAATAATACAATCAATCTATGGTGTATATATAGCCTGCAACTGCAAGATTCTCTCCAAGTTTGTTTTCTCCATCCACAAGTAATTGATTCTCTATACACATTGATTCTTTCCTGATTTAGCCTCTGTAACTAACATATCTACAAGCCCCTTGAGCCTCACAGCCCCTGAGCTAGGCCTGATCCTAGCCACGTCTTCAACAACCGAGCACTCTGGTTTCCCACCGCACCAACCGCCGGGAGTAAAACCGTCTTCGTTCATCCGACGAAGCAGTTGCTTATCGATCTTATCCAAAACTGTGTCATTTCTTCTGAATTTCCGACCAAATGCAGATCTGCTCGCAATCATATTTCCCATGTCTCTTAGGGACAACATGCGAGGATGCTGCCTCGGTGGCTTATCCCATGCGATGTAGTGAAGATCATGGTTCACCGCGGTTTTAGAGAACTCGGGCACGTTACATATGACTGTATGGAAGTAACCTTCAGGAGAAGAAACGAAATTGGTGTAGTACATGAGTAAAGTTCTTGGTAAATTGTCCCAACCCCATATGATATACTCCACGAATGAGTGCGACAGAGCCATCCAAGCTGATCCTGCAGAAAGAAAACCAACAAATATTGCTAACAAGAACAGAGTAAATATGTTTTAAAGCAGGATTAGAAGAACAGAACTGACCAGTAAATAACTTGAAAGCAGCTGGTAAACTTCGATTAGGTCTGACCCATAAAACGTTTGATTTGTTTACCATATAGAGTCCGGGATCAATGATTAATGGCATTGCCCGCTTCTTGCTTCACCGTGAGACACCAAGAAACTTTAGATTCAGCTAAGGAGAAACTAAAAGAATTCAGTAACTGAGACAAGAAGAAGCTCACTTTTTCCAGCCTAAGCGACTTGTGTGGTCGATAAAGTTGAGGTTCCGGTCCAAAGTCGAAAACGTATGAATCAGATCTTCAAACATAGAACATTGTTTGTCAGTCCAAACAAGAGGAAGATCAAGAACACAAGGAAAAAATCGAAGCATTTACCGTCTTGAGTCACGAGGGGATAATCGGAAGCACTAAGATTGATAAACCAATCCCAATCCGGGGTTCTTTTAAGTAGAATCGCGCATGCGTGAAGGGTATTCGCCACCATTGTTGGTCCGGTATAAGTGACAAGATTAGCTTTGGCTATCATATAGACATTCCCTATATTTGAATACATAGGATCGTTTTTAATGCGAGAAGCCAACTCTGATCTCTCATCAACGGGTGATTCAAGATCCAAGTGAACAATGTATTGGTTTCTTGGATGGTACAATGCTCTAAGAGTTCTCCAAAGGCTTTCAAGATCTCCTTTAGATCCCGAAACAAGGTAAGCGAAACGTGGGAGCTTGTCGACTTCAAGAGGTTGTTGCGCTACGACTTTCGAATCATTTTTGGCGTAACGGGATAAAGTTCCATTAACCGGTGGTCGAAGTGAAGAGATTAAACCAATGTTGAAGGAAGTTGCAATGAGTACAACGCAGACAAGAGATGTGATCACTAATGAGAATACACATTTCTTCTCCATAAACACATACCTCATTGAAGAGAATTTGTGGTCATGAGACAAAAGCATGACACCAAAATCTGAATCAAAACCTCTTTAGCAATAATCTTCTTCTGCAAATACATCAATTTAGCTGATCATATATCCTCAGCTCAAGCTCGAATTAAGCCACTAGCATCATCACACACTAAGTCCTATTACACAAATCAAGATTTCAGATAAACTTTTTAAGTGCATAAATTTTCAGAAACATAGAATGTTTTTTATCCTCTAAAACCACTCTGACCAGAATTTATTAGTTAATTAGACAATCAGACAACTAAACAGCTAGATTAACCTCAGCTCAAATAACTCCTCACCAAAACCACACAAAAAAAGTTACAAGAAAACGTCTCACAGGATAAGCAAAATCAAATCTAAGAATTGATCAAGGGATAGAGATTGGAACCTGAGTTTTTTTGCAAAAGAGGAAGAAGAAAGAATTTTGCTTTGGTTTGATACATAAAAACACTCTTGTGTGGACTAAAATTGTCAAGAGGAAGGAATTATGAAAATTTTCCAAAAATAAAAACAAAACCTTTCTTCTTCAAAAAGAAGATGGAAGTTTCGTAGAGGTTATATCCAATTCTTGTGAAGCTACTACACGAAATCGGAAATATATAAAAAAAATCATATATTTTGCTCTCTCATCTTTAAATTCCTTTATGAAAGTGATATCAGAAAAAAAGAATTCATATATCTTGCAAGGCGAAAATGATGTTATCAATTAATTAAAAATATCTTCACCAAAAAACAAAAAAGGGTTTTGTTTACATGAATGTAAATTTCTAGCTTGACATATTTATGAAAAGTGAATAAATACAAAAAAGGTTGAGATTTTGGATAACATAATCTGCTTGTACTTTGTAGAGATACTGGCTCTTTAAAATGTTTTTTTGACAGCAAAAAAGAAAAAAAAAGTTAAAAAAAGTATAAATATAACATATTCTGTAGTCATTGGGTTATGCAATTGTAACATACGCATAAGGAAATCTAATAACAACACTTGAACTAACAACACTACCATTCTTTTTTTTTTATTATTACTATTACTTTGCCATAAAACTTTTCTATTTCTTCAGCTAGTATCAAATTCTCTCTATCTCTTTTTTTTTCTTTTCTTTTCATACGTTGCCATAATTAAGAAAACTTCTCTTTTTCTCTAGCTTATTTCAAATTTATTGAAGTTTAATGAATATAATGGTTAACTATGTAATAAATAATAATAAATTAGATATATTGGGTTGAATTTGTAATAATTGTACAGTAATAGAACAAGTCATAGAGTAAGTAAGGTCCGTATGGGCCAGTAGGCCACGTTTATACCTGATGAAACTAATTCAATAAAAGTATTAAATATAATTGGAATTTTTGTTTATAGAAGAAAATTCTTCCAACCAAATTTTGGTCATCTGTTGTTATATTAGAATACGAGAGTGTGAAACAGGTTACAAAGTTCGAAACATCCCTACACCTGCAAGTGAGAAACAAACTCACAGACAATGCAACTAACGCTAACTCCTTTGAACAAGTCAAAGAGCCTATACAAAAGAATGGATACACCACAAAAGATCCAAACAGGGATATAAAACAGAATTACTCAAACAGAGGCTTAAACTCTCTCATCCTCAAAGACCTGATGCAGCCACATTGGATGACCTGAGGCAACATAAGAATGAAACCTCAAATCATTGGTAACACTTTGAGCAATGAGGGCAGCGCCTCTATTTGCAGTAGTAACTTCCTTAACAAATTTCCAGTCCATAATCCCTTTTAACAACTCTAAAGCCTCCGAAGAATGAAAACTGAAGGATGGCCAGGCAATAGGTCTATTCACCGCACCTATGAGCTCATCAGCTTGGAGAGCAAAGATAACTCTTCCCAATTGGTGACTCCTCATGCTTTCTATGGTCCACAGCAAAATCTCAAACTGAGCATCTAATTTGCTACACACATTAACAAAAGACTTACGGCTATGCAACAGAGCCACACCCTTCTCATCTCTCACAACCCATGCTCCACCAGCAGCTCTATTCCTTCTAGACCAAGAAACACCAATGTTACATTTGATCCAATTAGCTTCTGGAGGTCTCCATGTAATACCAGCCACATCACCACTATGATTTTCAGTCATTGGATCCCTTACACTCTCCGTTTCTTCCCCATCTGAAACCTCCTTTTGAGCCTCAAACCATTCATCAACATCAGCCTTTATCTTTTCCATGGTTTCCTTCACAGAGAAATTCTTCCCTTCATAGAGAATCAGATTCCTATTAGTCCATATCCTAATGGCAATTAGTTTTGAACTTTTGATTAATTCAGATTTAACATTAGAATTGACTGTTGTTGACCTTAAAGGACCTTACCAGACCAAAGACTAGGGTCAATAAGTGTAAATAACTAATAATAATATAAAAAGAAGAAATTAATAAATAATTTTCCATGTCAAAGCAAAAAAAGAAACGTTTTTTTTTTTTTTTTTGGGATTTCAAGAAGAAACAAGAAACATAAATTGAAATGTGAACGCAAAAACAAGAAATCTTTAATCTTTTCCTCAGTTTCTTCTTATGGGATCAACAAGAACTAGTCTACCTTCTTTCTTGATATTCGAAAGATCTGGTTTTTACTTCTTCAAACTTCTAAAGTTTCTTCCTTTTTTTTCCGTTAAAAATTGGATCTTTTCTTCAGCTAAAACCCTGAAGATTCTTGGGAAGAATTTGTCGTCTCTATCTCTTCTTGTTTCTTTCTCGGTAATGTTCTGTGACTCTACATTTTCTGTAATCAAGAACTGAATCTGTTGAGTTTGATATAAAGGTCTGATCTTTTGGCTATTTCTTAGAGCAGGACCAAATGAGTGCGTCGATTTTACTCGGGAAGTTAAACGGCGATGAATCATCTACGGTGACCACCGAGGAAGACGAAGAAGCTGTGTTTTCCGGTGAAGAGTGGTCTGGAGAGAATCTTTATTGTTTTTACTTCGTGAAGCAATTCGCTTACGACGACCCTGAGATTAAGGCCAAGATTGATGAGGCTGATAATGAGATTTATCATTGTAACACTAACCGGATTCACATTGCTAACAGATTGAAATCCAAAAGGGTAAGTAAGCTTTTTCGGTTTTGTTGATTTTTTACATTATGAAAAGGTTCTGATTAGAAAGTGTGTGTTTTTGTGTAGGCTGAGAGATTGTCTCTGGTTGCTTCAATGGAGAATTTGATTTCATCACTTTATGAATACAATGCTGTAGGGAAGGATCAAGAAGTGGTTACAAAGAGAATTTACAGCTTGAGTGAAAGATTAAGTGAGATTAAGATGGAGATTGAGTTGTTGGATGTTCAAATGGCTTGTGTACTTGATCAAAGAGACAAAGCCGTCGAAAGGATTAAGTTCTTGAGGATACAACGAGACAAAGGGGTGCGATTTTTACCGCCTCTCCTTTTGTGTCAAGTTTGTTTCTTTCTTCATCAATTGGTTCTTAAAGATTTGTTTCTTTATCGGGTGTGTTTTGCTTTGTAGAATGCTGCATTTTACCGGAGTCGTGTTGTCATGAAGAAAGCTATAGAATTGGCTGCTTCTGGAAATGTTAGAGATCTTGAAGAGCTTGCTGATTTTGAGGTTTGTTTTGTCAGTCTATTGGGTGTGTATGTGTGTGTATCTCTAAGATTTGAGTATTTGTTCTTAGTTTTTCTTTGCGTCTTGTGTTTTTTGATAGGTTGAAAAATTTATGTCTCGTTGGAACAATGACAAGGCTTTTAGGGAAGATTACAAGAAAAGAATCTTGCCTTCACTTAATGAGCGAAAGCTGAGGCGCGATGTGCAGATTAGGGACCTAGAAGGCAATGTAGATACTGAGAATGGAAATGAAACAGTCGAGAAAAAGGCAATAGAATTCAAGAGGTTTAGTACTGAGGAGGAGAGTGATGATGTTATGGATTTTGATATACCGGTGTATGAAAAGCTTGGAAAGGAGGAAGATGAGATTGATGAAGAAACTTTGAAGGAGAAGAAACGGGAAGAGCAGTTAGAGAAAGCTCGACTAGCGATGGAAAGGAAGAGGAAACTACATGAGAAAGCTGCTGCTAAAGCTGTCATAAGAGTTAAGAAGGAAGCTGAGAAGAAACTTAAAGAGCTTGAGAAGAGAGCGAAGAAGAAGAAGAAGGCTGCATTTAACTCTTCTTCTATGAATATAGACAGAACAACTGAGACAGTCACCGAGGCATCAGAACCAGAAAAGGAGAAGCTATTAAATGGGAGATCAGTGTTTCCAAAACAGAGAAGTTTTTGTTATAGACATCACGGAAAAGGAAATGACGCTGTCCTCAAAGCCATCATAAAGCGTAGAAAGGCTTATAGGTTATGGGTTTGGACTGTTTCCTCCTCTGCAATTGTTCTCTCACTCACTCTCCTCGTTGTCTTCTTATACGTTCGATGAGAGGAAGATGAAACAGTAAAAGGTTTCTTTGACTTTTGGAGAGTTAAGTGATGAGCAAGCAGCTTCAAGGTATAAAGTTAGTTTAGAAGCAAATGACATTGGCAAATAATGTCATAGTCGAGATGGAGTAGACTGAACAGTCGTATTTGGTGTCGTATATTTCAGAGTAGCAGAGACATTCACCTCCATGGTGAGATATGTTTGACATTACAGAGCTGATTCGGTCGAACATCATGACCTGGAGAAGCTCTTGCACAAGGATAAGGTTAAGATGTTTGACCAGATCAACTTTGGGACCTCGAACATGTCTACATGGACGCAAACACAGTCACTTAGTAGTTTTTATATGTTTGATCTCTGAGTTGAGTCGTAGGAACCAAAAAGCATCCTCTTAGTCTTGTGTAGTAGCTTCAGAATGTGTGTACATGGAAGAGAGACCTCATGAATTTTTTTACTATTTTTACGTAAACAAAATAAAACTACAATTTTATTACAGAAAATCTTGGACAACAATAATTAACTTGTTCTTGTTGTATACATCTTATTCGATTAAATTAACCTAAGTTTCCCAGAGGTTTGCTAATTGCTACTTGCAAACCTTCTAGACCAGACTGAGGTGTTCGAGTTGTATTAGATGATGACCTTGTTTGAAAAATCGCTAGGCACTAGTCGGGCGCTCGGCATGGGCCTAGCGATTAATCGGAAAATCGGATTAAAATCGGGGATTAATCGGGGATTAGTTTTAGGGTTATTTTAATATTTTTAAAATATATTAATCCAATATTGTAAAAATTTATGATTTTTATTACAAATTTATGATTTTTATTAAAATTTGAACACAAGTTATTGTAAAACATCACAAACTCCCCATTCAAATGATTGAATAACAAAAATAAAAGGTTGCAATCTAAAAAATACTCGGAGTATATAAGATTAGGTGGAAAATAATCGGATTAGGCGGGAAGTAATCGGATTAGGCGGAGAATAATCGGGTTACTGATTTTTTAGGGGATTAGTCATTAATCGAGGCGGATAGGGTGGGCCTAGCGATTAAGCGGGGAGTAATCGGGGCTATGCGGGGATTTTTAGAACAGGGGATGATGACAAAGAAACCTTCTAATGGGGTTAGAGGCTTTCTCCTTATGCTAAGGTTTCAGTCAGAGACGAGAACAGGCAGCTATGGCTGTCACAAGCTTGGCTCCTCCATGGATCATCTTGCGACAAACTTTCCGGTCAGTCGCAGCATCTTCTTATCTTCACTCAAATCACAAAACCCTAATCTCAAATCTCTCTATTCCCGCTTCGTTTCCTCTCCGACATTCAGGTTCATTTCCATAACTTATCTTGGTTTTGCTTACTACTTTATGTTCTTCTGAAGTTTTGATTTTGGATTCACCATCATACTTATTCAATTGATTCTTCTTGATGAAATTTTGCAACTTTTCTTTGGGAATTTAGAGGTTAGGGCATGAACTTGTCTTAGTGTGTGATGATTCAATCAAAAGTTGTTTGTTGTGATGAAATCTCTAATAAAAATTGCAGCTTTGAGAAGATGTTACATTGCAGAAGCTATAAAAGGAGATGTAGATTTTCTACTCAAAGGAGTTGGAGACCAAGCTGTTGCCAAAGAAGTCAAGCAAATTCTTGAAATGGTATTCTCTACCTTAATTCTCCATTGAGAGTCTTCCATCTTCATATTCTCAAAGGGATTGTTTGTTTATTAGGCGAGACGGGCAGCATCAAAAAGAGAAGTTCTTCATACAGATTTTCTCACACCACCTATTGTTAAGGAATCAGTTTTAGTATTGGGGAAATTTGCTGATGTTAAGATAGTTGCTCAAGGAGGTTACCCTGAGGTCGGTTTTTCATTTTTAAAAGAAAAGCTTCCTCGGAAAATGTTAACTTAAGCTGACAATTTTTGTGTGGGATCGTCTTTTTCTTAGGCTGAGCGGTGTAGGATCTCGATTGGACATCCTGATGTTCTAACTAATGATCCAGATATAGTTGCTGCTTTGAGGTACAAGACATGAATGGTAATATTCTTTTCTTGAGTTTTGTTCTTGTATGAGTCTTGAGTAAGTTTATGTTGGTATTTCTAGTATCACTGGGAATTTCGGGTTTCAACCTTGTTCTCATGGTGACTTCCTTGGTGCGATTCTTGGCACGGGAATTTCCAGGGAAAAACTTGGGGATATCTTAATTCAGGTATCAACTAATTGATTCTGTATAACAACATTTGTCGCTCCATTCACAAAATCTTTCCTTTAACATCGTTTCTTTGGCTATTTAACTTCGGTGGTACTGAAGGAAGAAAAGGGTGCCCAAGTCCTGATAGTTCCTGAACTAGTTGACTTTGTTGTTTCCGCTCTTGACAAGGTTTAAACTTTTGTGGCTTATTTGTATAACCCATTAGCCAATATCTTGCTCTGCATTACTCTGACCCTATGATGTAAATAAATCTTTTTCATAGGTTGGAAATGTTGGTGTAACTTGTACTAAGATACCTTTGCTTGCTCTTGAATATGAACCGCCTAGGTATGAGCACTAATTCTTAGAAACATACTTTTGCAGTGACAAGGTTTTCTTTTTTGCATTGGCTTGATTGTTTTGTTTGTTAGGACTAATTCCTTTAAAACTGTGGAAGCCTCGTTGAGAATTGATGCAGTAGCTAGTGCTGGTTTCAAGATTTCGCGGTCAAAGCTAGTTGATCTGATTAGGTAACAAAAAGCGTTCTTTATCTTTTTGATCTTTCATTGCATTCTCATATTCGCTAAAGAAAATTCTTCTTTGTATGCAGTAACAAGGACGTTCGGGTTAACTGGGCAACCGTTACCAAGAACGGAACCACAGTGAAGACCGGTGATGTTGTCTCCGTTAGCGGAAAAGGGAGACTTAAGGTAAGGTTGCTGGAAAGTGAGTTTAGTTAGTGATTAGTTTCAAAAACGTTAACCTTTTGTGTTCATTGTGTTCAATCACAGATTGGAGAGATCAATGAAACGAAGAAAGGGAAATTTGCAGTTGAAATCATCAGATATCTTTAGAAAGAAAGCTGTAACAAATTATCAATTATTCTTTTTCTTCTTTTATAATTTTACCTTTATTTTTATCTGTTCTCGTTTCTTCGTGTGTTGACATTTGTATAATCATAGCAAAATCAGATTAATGAGTTAATCTTGATTTTTTGTGATCAAAAATTAGTCTCTATTATAATGTAAAAGAACCGACGAAAAAATCGTCTATACATTACAAAGTATAACATTTTATTTACTTATGTATTTTTTTTATTAAATAATCATGTTTGTGTTTACATATGTATACTCTCACTCACACTCATTACATGCGTATGCATGAAGATTTTGTATACGTGAAATCCTTACGTATGCTAATAACTGTTTCTTCAAGAAAAAACCAAAAATATAACAACTCAAAATTAAGATATAACACTTACTTTTTCATGTTTTTCTATATAAAAATCAAGCATACCCACAATACCCATACTCACATTTAACCCCGGAACCACATTTCCTAGTGCATTTCCCACAATGGTTCGGGTTAAAGTTAACGTAAGTGCAAACGCCACCGCAACAACGTTGCCCAAAACCACATTTGTGACCGCATCGACCACAATTGTTCTTATCTCCTAGAACATTCCGACAATGCTTCTTGCAGCAATGCAAGAGGCTCGTCCCTTTATTCGCTTTTACGCCATTGCAAATGTTGTAGCTCGCGACGTGACATCTCATTCCTTTCTTGATCTTCTTGTAGTGGGAAACTAGTAGCCTAGTTTTGGATGAAACTGTCACATTTGAAAGTATCGAGGGAGTTTCGTCGAGAATGTAGTACTCCGGGTCATCTTCTTGGTCGACAACGTCATCGGCCAAAACCGAGTTAGAATCAAATGTTGCTATTATTAGGAAATAGAGGATTAATGAGAGAAGTGAAGTGGCTTTAATGAAAGTATTAGAGAACTTAACGACCATTTTGCTTTAAGTAAAAATTAACCAAAGAGAGTTTGGCTTTGGAGCAGAGAAGAAGCAAAGGAAAGGAAGAGGAGTGGGACTTAAGGGAAGATATGTGTTCTTGCGAATGAAGAGGTATTTTAAGGCAGCAAAAACATTATTGAAATTCGAATTTAAATTTATTTTAAAGAAAATTGACTTTTTTAGGCAATTGCTTAAATGAGTTGATTTTTCCTCAAATCTAGGCTACCACAAGTGATTGTTGTTTAGGTTACGTCATACAATTTTGGATCTGCTTGGCGAATAAGGTTTTCAATGGTATGGTAAAACAGGTCTTTTGTTATGGTTATATAGAAAATATAAATTGACAAAGAGAGTTATATGAAGGATTTTAGTTACTGGTGTATTAAAAATTTAAATATTAAGTATAATAAAAAAAAAAAAGATCGACTGTAAAAATATTTCTAAAATATCTTTTAGCTATAACATAAAAATAGAAAAGTAAACAACTTAAACTAAGTGAATGGCCTAAAAACCTAGAAAATAGCATGTCGCTCTAAACATATAGGTACTATGAACAATACGGTACATTTGCTTTTCTCATCTATTAGTTTTCATATAATTTGAATTTTTGGGTCGAACTCTCTAAATTAAGTTTTGGAGATCTATGGAGTTGGAGTCTATAGTAGTAATGGAAAAATTCGAACATTAATTTCGATTCACAAACAAACGAATAGATACTTGACTATTGTACTATTATTGCTTCCATATTTGCTTGTTACTTGCTAGCTCTACTATGTATTTTTACTTTCTGTCACTTTTCTATTCATCTTTTTTAATCACTTTGTTGATTGATACTTTTTTCAGAAACCTAAGTGTTACCGTCAAGACAAAAAAAGTACCAATCCAATTCCTTTAACTTGTGTTTCTAGCTATTACATACGATTTATGTATATCAACTATTAATAACGTTATGTGCATATTTCTATAAATATCATATAATTGAATCAATATTATTGATGATCAAAAGGTTACTTTTGTTCTGTTGTGTATTATAATACCGTTATTATATTACATATAAATTTGAAACTTGTTTGATCTCGAGTATGAATTAGATTCGTGCACGAAAACAATAAAAAGAGAGAGTCAAACTAATTAATTTAGGCTAAAAACCATAATGGAACAAACAACACACATGACTGAAACAAAACAGCACAAGTGCTCTTTGAAATCATCAAAGTGCATGTACATGAGTTGTCTCTTAAAACAAAACTTTTCTTCAAACGTTGCACGTGTGGTGACGGTGGAACTAGATCCTTCTTTGCTGCCAATAAAGCCGGGAAGATTCACACACCGGTTACGCTTACTACGCAACGGAACCTGGCGACTGTAATGTGCTCTCTCTACGTGTCAATATCGAATGCTCGTGACAGTCGTCTCGTCACCGTCTAAGTTGATTACTTTACTAGGACCTTGAGGTCCATAACGTTGAGCCGTTGACCATTAACCCTATTTTACTCGTTGACCTAAACAAAAACAGAAAAGTTGGAGGAATTAATGATATAATCTTATACATATACAACTAATATTGAAATATGTGAGAAAATGATCATGTATTGTTCATTAATTATATATTCTGATCATTGATTCTAAATTTTATGCCGCACATGACATGCAAAGGCTATATAAGCTATGAAGCCTATGTGTGTTGACAAAAATAGAAAATACGCATTATCATTAAAAAACATCCAATAATAGAAAACTTATGGGAAAAAATTAATGAAAAAATATTTTACACTAATCGTATTGGTTTTAGTTATCGAAGACTCGTTTGATTAGTCGAAGGCGAAGACAGAGATCGAATGTCATAGATGTGCGACTCCACGTTTGATTACTATAGGTATTTTAATTGTACACTAAAACCTCTATAAATTAATACTCTATAAATTAATAACCTCTCTAAATTAATAAATTCTTCCGGTCCCGAGTTAGGACCAGTGTAAAATATGACATAAATCGATAAATTAATAAGATAATAATTTTTTTGAAATTTTTTTGTAAACATATGGTCCCATCTATATTATAAATTAATAATTATATAAACTTATCAATATATATATATGTATATTTAACTTAATATATATATATATATATATGATATAAATTTATATATGTCATATATAAATTACTATAATATATATTTAAAATATTATATGTAAGAAAATTAATGAAATATGAATTTCTTATTCGAAAAAAGTTTGTGTTGTTGTTTAAACTTAATAATTGTTTTTCTACTTGCAATTGGTTTTAAAAAGATATTGCTTATAAAGAAAAATATATATTTTTAGATGAATTTTTTTAAGAATTACAATATTAGGAAAATCTCTCTATAAATTAATTACCTCTCTAAATTAATAAAAAATTTTGGTCCCAATATTATTAATTTATAGAGGTTTTACTGTAGTAAGAAAAGTTGTTTCCATGAAATTAGTTTGGAACTAATTCACTACAAGAAAAAAGGCGTCTTGGTTGTAAACCCTATCATATAAGTTTTATTAAAGTTTCATTTTTTGGATTTAGAGTTTCTATGTTTTTTAAGTTTAGGGTTTAAAGTTCAAGTTTTAGAATTTAGCGTTTATATATTTACAAGATTAGAGTTTAATATATATGTTTTAGGGTTTGTAATTAATGATAATAATTTTGTGGTTTATTTTTATTTTTATTTTTATTTTGATAAACCCTATCGGCTATCCGGCCGGCCCTGGTATGAACGCACCGAGGTGCTACATTGTGGTTTAATGTATAAACTATTTTATATTCTTTTCTATATTACGAAATTTCCCTTTAATGTATTATAGTGTAGAACTCATCATGTTGCGGTCTCATCTTCAAATGGAACCTGAAATATGCCAGAACGAGATGTTTTTCAACTCGAAATTATAATTTAGGATACATCTTTGTTTTTCTTTGAAAAATCTAAATTGTTTTTTTTTTTACTGGCAGCTTTGAAAAACTTACTTGATATGGTTAATTACTTTAAATAGTGTTCAAGTTATGTGTTAAGTCGTATAAAATACTATGCACTAAACAAAAGATTCAAGTCATGTACTATTCTCCATACGCATAAATAATCATAGACATTGATGGACATAGTCCTGAACGTTCAGGTATTCAGTTCTCGTTTGTTTGGATCTCAACTTTAGGATCCATTTAGAAACCAAAGAAATTTTGGTTCAGTTTTGGTTCTTTAAGATCTCAACTTTAGGTTCCATATAGTAACTGAAGGAATTTTGATTTGGTTCCAGTTCGGGTAGCTGAATCAAGAACCGATTTGGAATTTTTTTTTGTTTCGATTCTAAAATACATAATCAATAAAACATTTAGGTATTTTTGGGTATTTAAGAAAATAGGGTATATTCGGATTTTTTTATTGTATTCGCGAATATTTCAGACATTTCTGGATATTTTAGTTTGGTTATTCGAATTTTTTTGAATATTCGGATATATTTTGGTTTCGGTCTAAATAACTCATATGTTTTATATGTAATTTTATTTCAGGTATTTCGGGCTCCAGTTCTTGAGTTCCTGATCTATTCGGATGTTGACTCAGTTCTTGAGTATTTTACTACGATGGATCCTTATTTAGATATAATAATTTAGGATAAACATACAATAACAAAAATATTCATAAGGATGTTGAAGCAATTTACTACACTAAACATTCCACGAATAAAGAACCAAGAGTAAATATGTTATCATCCAAAGAATGACCAAAAAGACGACTGGAACAACCAACCAAAAATGCAAGAACTGTAAGCTAAAAACACACATAAAACATTGATTTTCAACAAAACTAACATCAAATTTCAATTGTCCAATATTAAATGAACAAACAATAATAGTTCTTTCTTGAAAGGTTACAAATGATATAAACCAACATCAATTTTGAAAAGATATAGCAATCAAATGTCTTGTTTCATAGAACATAGCTTAAGAGACTCTTATAGTTCTATAATAGTAACTTAATGCGTTACTTTACCTATTTACATACAAAAACTGTATTTTGTATATATATGTACTAGAGTAGAGAAGAGTCAAGAAGTTCCAAATCTGACAAGTATTATAGCAAACTAAAAAGTTCCTAGAATCGAGACAAAATATTAAAGATCAAAGAACCATGCCATATTTGACTTGCCTACAATGTCTGATAATTTCTTGTTTTTAACATCAACCATAGAAGGCTTCTTTGTTCAAAAAAAAAAAAAAAAAAAAAAAAAAACATCAACCATAGAAGAGTGTTACTAAAACAGAAAACTTGGTAAGGAAATCAAGAAAGATCCATTGCATATTCTAAACAAATGCACCAGTGACTCGATTGAGTTCCAAATTTAATCAAAAATGTATGACAAGAGATCACAGGATAGACACTAGTGCGATAACAGCGATATTTTCGATCATTGTATTTTGGAAAATCTAGCTAACGAGTACAGTTGCTAGAATCTAACACTGTAATCATCAATTTATGATGCATAATTCGAGAATGGCGTTTTAACATGTTAGAACTGATCACCAAGAGTTTAAAGAACAACGCAATACAAATACATTCGAGATTGAAGTAAACTACTACCGTAATTTGCAATACTGGAGTCTACATGAGACTCGAAGATACATCATACATACAAGCACAAAAACAGAGATAATCAGTATATCAAACGCACAATGTAATGCTCCAATACCAAAATAAAATCAACGTTTATATCAGCATATGCCAAAATCTAATTTCAAATGTTTAGAATAATCATACTAATCATAGACATGATGGACTTAATTGGGAATAATTTAAGATAAACAAACAAGAATAAGTAGTCCCAAGAAACTAAATCAATTCACCACAATAATTATTCTAAGAATCAAGAAGCAAAAGTCACGATAGTATCATCCAAGGAATACTCAAAAGACTATCACAACCAACCAAAATGCAAGAACTATGATCACCATACATATTTTATAATGAAACACAAAGCTGAAAAAATTACAGAAAACATTGCTTATCAACACAACTAACATTGAACTTCAGATTATCCGGTTTAAACAAACAAACAATCATAAATATCCCTTTCTTGAATCTTGAGAGGTGACAGATAGAATAAAAAAGGGAATAGACAAGAGGTGCAAGATATATATACACTAATATACACTTAGAAAAGTTATAGCTGAATTTACCTGCAATTGCCATAATACTGTGAGATATACCTTATAGTTGTGTCGTTTCTCATAAACTGAACAAAAACTCTTATACAGTATTCTATGATAGTAACTCAATAAGCTATTTTGCTGAGTAACAAACAGAACACTGGAATTTGTACATAAATATGTCTACTATAGTAGAGAGTCAAGAACTTCGACGTCTAAAATCTGTATAGCAAAAACTACGGTTTCTGAATAGCTGAAACAAAATAGTGGAAAAAGAATACATGTAGTCCACATAAAAGAGCAGAAAAGACAAGAGCATCTATTCCACATGCCTACAGTGGGGATGATAAAAGTGTACTAATTTATATCAATCACAGAAAAGTGTTATTAAAACAAAAAACATGGGAGGAAAATCAAGAAATATATATTCCACATTCTATTGATTCAATAGATTATCAAGTTCCATCAACTCTGTTAAACTAAAAGCAGACACTGGTACCATAACAGAGATAATTTCACTCATTGTATAGTAAACAAACAAGACAAACATGTATAATTTATAGAATCTAACACAGAAATCATCATTTGATGATGCAGAATTTCAAAATGTCAATCACCATGGGATTAGAGCATAACCTAAAACAAAAACAAAAACATTCAAGAAAACTACATCATTTGCAGTAGTCTCACCAACATTCAAAATAAATATCTACAAGAGACTACAAGATCCATGTATTTCATAAAATCAGAAACCTAGAAACACTAAAACAGTGATAACAAACATTTTACACACAATTAAAAATTTCCAATATCCATAAGTAGAATCTACCTTTATATTTGTGTATGATGTAGAATGGCGTTTCATATGTTATCACCATGGTTTAGAGAATAACGCGAAAACAAATACATTTGAGATTCAAATAAACTACTACTAAAAGAATTTATATGAGTCACCTAGATACCCTTTTTTTTTTTTTTTTTTTTTTTTTTTTTTTGGGCAAAAGTCACCTAGATACCCTAACATAGTAACATACATATTAGCACCAAACAGAAATAATAAATATTTTAAACACAGAATGTACCCAAAGCAAATTCTACCTTTTATCAATGAATAATATTAGCAATTAGAATCTGACGGATTCTAGATCAAAGACACTAATGCTATCAAGACAAGTGTTTAAGAAACATTTCTAACTATAGATGATACTTAGATTTGCATTTCTAATTTCTTTACTTAAGTTATATATAAAACACTTAACTTAATTTGTAAATTTTCACATGTAATAATATCAATTTATCATAGAAAAGTCTAGAAAAGCATATACCTAGTCATAGAATTTTGCTACACTTGAAAATGAGAACTCATTGGCGTCAATGAGATTATTACCACCTTTTGAAGCATATACCTGAACACATAAAAATTAGTCTTTAATTCACATATGTGTTTCTTACTTGTGATTTTCATATTTGAATCAACTAATTACAAACAAGTTTGAAAAGTACATACCTGTCAAAGAAGTCTGCTACACTTGAAATCTCCTCAAAGTCTTCAAAGGCGCGTACCTGAGGAAAACATAATTGGTTAGTCTTCATATAATGTAAATGCCCTATACTTACCTTGTTCTTCAAATTCTTTTGGTCGTATTTTCATGACTTAAGTTCAGTCTTTGTACTAATTTTAGGTTCAGTTTTTGTCTTAGACTTATTAAACCGTTTCATACTCTTGTCATAGTACTTTGTCAAATACTTGAGTCTTAAGTCTCCTTTTAAGTTGTTGGTCGTTATAAGCATCCAATCCAAAGTCTTTGACTTGTTGTCTTGTGATATTTCTAAGCCGAAAGTAGCAACAAGTGGTTGGTCGTTATAAGCATCCAACCCAAAGTCTTTGACTTATTGTCTTGTGATTTTTCTAAGCCGAGAGTTGCAGACTTGTCTTTGTCTTAGACTTATTAAGCCGATGCATACTCTTGTCATAGTACTTTGTCAAATACCTGTGTCTTAAGCCTCTTTTTAAGCCGTTGGTCTACAACAAGTGGTTGGTCGTTATAAGCATCCAACCCAAAGTCTTTGACTTGTTGCCTTGTGTGTTTTTTAAGCCGAGAGTTGCAAAATTCAGTCTTTGATTTAGACTTATTAAGCCGATGCATACTCTTGTCATAGTACTTTGTCAAATACTTGTGTCTTAAGCCTCCTTTTAAGCCGTTGGTCTACAACAAGTGGTTGGTCGTAATAAGCATCCAACCCAAAGTCTTTGACTTGTTGCCTTGTGTTTATTCTAAGCCGAGAGTGGCAACAAGGTGTTGGTCGTTTGTACCATCCAACAATTATCCTTGATTCAGTCTTTTGTCTGAGACTTTTTAAGCCGTTGGTCATTCCCATCATACAAACTGAAACCGGTCAATAATCTTTTCCCATCTCCCAACATGCATGCACTACCCATCCAATAGATCCGATTCAGTTTATAATTCTTATCGGGACAATGTCCCCAAAAAGAATCTGACAGAACACTATCATATTAATGTCTGCCCATGATTTTTTTTTGGGTTTTGAAAGAAAAACAAAAACATCAAGAACCAAAAATCTTTTGAAAATCTTATTAAAGAGAGGAGTTTTGTTCTTGGATAGAGAAAACAAAATCTTGATTCCAAAATTAAGAATCTGCAAAACAATTAAAAGGCTTTGAAAATCTTATTAAAAGAAGAATTTTGTTCTTGGATCTCATCGACAAGAACTGATCATACATGTTTGTTCTCATTCGATTTTAATCTCAGAAACTGAAAAACAAAAACGAACACCAAAACCAAAAATTAAAATCGGGAAAGATAGAGACAGACATACCTTGAAGGATTTCTTCAAGCGGAGACAAGCTTTCAGAAAAAACCCTAAACAATCAATTATATACGAACAATTAGAAAACTTGGAAACCCTAAAGAAACAAAAAGAATCTAACCAAAATCACCAGCGGAAGAAGAAACCCTGACGATGGTAGCAATTTCACGCCGAATCAAGCATCCTTCAAAACCCTAGAGCAATCCAACATAAGATCGATTACAAACTTATAAATCGGAGACAATCTTCCATTAAAATCCTAAATAAGAAATTACGGACGAACTACTAGAAAACTTTGAAACCCTAAAATACAAAATCACAAAAGATTAGGAAGGAATCGAACCAATTACCATGACGAAGAAGAAATCTAGACGACGGTAGCAGTTTTATCTTCCAAGTACCATCAAAACCCTAGATCGATTACAAACTTATAAAATCAGAGAAACAAATTCGCGATCTGTAGATATCAAGAAAAAATATCGCCGATTGATCGAGAGAACTGGAGAAATATTTCCTCTGATATTTATTGTTGCGTCTTCACAGCAAACGCATTTTGCTAACGGTTATATTTGCAAACGCGTTGATCCGTGAGATACTCTAATCGGACGGTCCTGCATCTTCCACGTTTCGTGGTTAATATTAGGCCTGATAGAGTTAAAGTTAGGCCCAATACGGCCCATTAATTCAAATTTCAAATTTTAAACTTTCTTCTACTACGCTCCGACTTCCCCATCGCTGCGAGATTTTACCGTTGTCTTGTTTCTCTACCTTCTTCAATGGCGAATTCAAACACATACCTAACCACACCGACGAAAACCCCATCTTCGAGGAGAAACCAACAGAGTCAATCGAAGATGCAATCTCACTCCAAGGATCCGATAAACGCAGAGTCTAGGTCACGATTCGAGGCATACAATCGTCTCCAAGCAGCAGCCGTTGCTTTCGGAGAGAAACTTCCGATACCAGAGATTGTAGCCATTGGTGGCCAATCAGACGGAAAAAGCTCTCTTCTCGAAGCGCTTTTAGGGTTCCGATTTAATGTCCGTGAAGTTGAAATGGGTACTCGACGCCCTTTGATTCTCCAGATGGTTCATGATTTATCAGCGTTAGAACCACGGTGTCGATTTCAGGTAAAAAACCTAGACGATTTTGTATTCGATTACGAATTATTTCTTCATAGTTGAATTTGGAGATTGTAGAATGTAGTAGAGAATCCTCGAGGCTAGGCTAATTCTGGGTTTGAGTTACTTTGAGCGAACTCTTGTTAATTTGGTGATTTTGATTACTGATTTGGTAAGTTTGATTGGTAGGATGAAGATTCTGAAGAATATGGAGGTCCAATTGTTTCGGCTACAGCAGTAGCAGATGTAATTAGGTCTAGAACAGAGTCGCTTTTGAAGAAGACGAAAACCGCAGTTTCGTCTAAGCCGATTGTGATGAGAGCTGAGTATGCCCATTGTCCAAATCTGACTATCATTGATACTCCTGGATTTGTTCTTAAGGTAGATTTTTTCTCGTTTTTTTGTGTCTATCTGTATCAAAGTTTGTTAATTGGATAGTTTCTGATGCTTGTGTGAGCAGGCCAAGCAAGGAGAGCCTGAAACCACACCTGATGAAATTTTATCGATGGTCAAGTCACTGGCTAGTCCTCCACATCGCATTCTCTTGTTCCTTCAGCAGAGTAGTGTGGAATGGTGTTCATCCTTGTGGTTGGATGCAGTTCGTGAGATTGATTCAAGCTTTCGAAGGACTATTGTTGTTGTCTCCAAGTTTGATAATCGCCTCAAGGTATTTAAACACAATCAGCTATGGTTATTAGTTGATGATTCCCCTATGTCTGAACTAAAAGTGTATGATTATCCAACCTTTGCAGGAATTTAGTGATCGCGGTGAAGTGGATCGTTATCTGAGTGCTAGCGGATACCTTGGGGAGAACACTCGTCCTTATTTCGTGGCATTGCCAAAAGACAGGAGCACTGTCTCAAATGATGAATTTCGCCGACAAATATCTCAGGTGGACACTGAAGTTATAAGGCATTTACGGGAGGGAGTTAAGGGAGGATTTGATGAAGAAAAATTCCGGTCCTATATTGGTTTTGGGTCATTAAGAGATTTCCTAGAGTCTGAGCTTCAGAAGAGATACAAGGAAGCTGCACCAGCAACACTAGCTTTGCTTGAACAGCGCTGCTCTGAGGTAACCGACGATATGCTGAGAATGGAGATGAAAATTCAAGCTACTTCTGATGTTGCTCATCTCAGAAAAGCGGCAATGCTATACACTGCTTCTATTAGCAATCATGTGGTGAGTAGTTTATAACATACAGTTATTGTTGCATTGTTCTTAAGACTTACACTGGATCATACTTTGATATTACAATTACCTTCTAAGTCTTTGAAAATTAAGTTGAGTAAAGACATTGTTCTTCTCTTGTTTCTTAAGGGGGCTTTGATTGATGGAGCTGCAAATCCAGCACCTGAGCAATGGGGGAAAACAACTGAAGAAGAACGTGGTGAGAGTGGCATTGGAAGTTGGCCAGGCGTAAGTGTGGATATTAAGCCGCCCAATGCTGTTCTTAAACTCTATGGAGGAGCTGCTTTTGAAAGAGTGATTCATGAGTTCCGTTGTGCAGCCTACTCAATTGAGTGCCCTCCAGTGTCAAGAGAGAAGGTACACTGCAGCTTCTCCTTCTCTCAGTAAACAACATTTTCTACTTTTCCATAAAAATGCAAAGTTGAACACATAGTCTGCATGAGCAGGTAGCAAACATTCTGCTAGCTCATGCTGGGCGTGGAGGTGGTAGAGGAGTAACAGAAGCTTCAGCAGAAATTGCTCGAACCGCTGCACGGTCATGGCTCGCTCCTCTTCTTGACACAGCCTGCGACAGGCTTGCCTTTGTATTAGGAAGTCTCTTTGAAATTGCTCTAGAAAGAAACCTGAACCAAAACTCAGAATGTAAGAACCTTTCAATGCTCCTTGGATCTTTTATATTCTCCTAGAGCCCTGCATCTTATGAACAAATGGTCTTTGCAGATGAGAAGAAAACCGAAAATATGGATGGATATGTGGGCTTTCATGCCGCTGTACGGAACTGTTACAGCCGTTTTGTGAAGAATCTTGCGAAACAGTGTAAGCAATTAGTAAGACACCATCTTGATTCAGTGACCAGCCCATATTCCATGGCGTGCTATGAGAATGACTACCACCAAGGAGGAGCTTTTGGCTCATATAACAAATTCAACCAAGCCTCAGGTAATTCGTTTTGCTTCGAGCTCTCTGATACCAGTCGTGATGAGCCAATGAAAGATCAAGAAAACATTCCTCCGGAGAATAATAATGGCCAAGAGACAACACCCGGAAAAGGAGGGGAAAGCCACATAACAGTTCCTGAGACGCCTTCACCGGACCAACCTTGTGAGATAGTGTATGGTTTGGTAAAGAAAGAAATTGGAAATGGTCCTGATGGTGTTGGAGCTAGAAAAAGAATGGCGAGAATGGTGGGAAACAGGAACATAGAGCCATTTAGAGTTCAAAATGGTGGGCTTATGTTTGGTAACGGGGATAACGGAATGAAATCAAGCTCTGCTTACTCTGAGATATGTTCATCAGCCGCACAACATTTTGCTAGAATACGCGAAGTTCTTGTCGAAAGAAGCGTAACATCGACTCTAAACTCAGGGTTTCTAACACCTTGGTGAGTCTACTGATAAAAATTCATTGTTTCCTTGTAGAAGGAGGAAACATTTTTATTTGATATTCTGTTTGTTTATGCAGCCGAGACAGACTAGTGGTTGCACTTGGATTGGATCTATTTGCAGTAAATGACGATAAGTTCATGGACATGTTCGTTGCTCCTGGAGCCATTGATGTACTGCAAAACGAACGTCAACAGCTTCAGAAACGCCAGAAGATTCTTCAATCTTGCTTGACTGAATTCAAAACCGTGGCTCGTTCTCTATGATGAAATGAATGATCATTGTCTCTATGATGTGTTCTCTTCTCTGTAACGTGGTGAATTCTTCTTGTGGCTATAATGTTGTTTTATGCTCAATTTCAACGTATGGTAATTTTCTTGAAACATAATATTGTTCTTGTATAAGCTCACTTCTGCATCATTGATTAGAACAGTTTGGCACAATCGAGTACACAAACCAATTGAACCAGAAACAATTAACCATAACCGAGAATCGATTGACTAATCCGGACACTTGGTTATTACTCTGAGTCTGAATATAGGGGCCAATTGATGGGTTTATGGGGTTAGGGAAAATATGTAAAACATGAGAATTGAAGGAGAGTTCTGTTAGAAAAATATGGGTTTATTACTTTATTTATCTGTAATATGTAATCGTATAGGAGATATATGTAAAAAACAAAGAAAAAAAAACTCCAATATAAAGAAAATGGTGAAAAAGTAAAAAAAACAAAAACAAAATTGGTGAAACTTGATGGCGTAAATCCAGATGTTCCTCCATGTCCCTCATCATCATTCATTGAGCTCATTATTGAGAGAAGAGTTGTTTATTTTTTCCTTAAAATGTTAGAAATAAATTGGATACAAGATGTTTTAGACGTCTGTCTAATTAATTTGTTTAACCATCGATTAATGCATTTATCATTTTTTAGTAAAAATACAAATAAAAGAAAAACAACATCATATATTTTTTATATAAAAAGAAAATCAAATCTCTTATCAAAATTAATGTTTAATTTTGAATTAGCACATATATAGGGGGGTATGGATAAGATTTTTCTCAATAAGATGGTGTTTTGGAATATATTCGGTTCAAATTTAATTTTGTTTTTATCATGGCATAAATAATTATGACGCAAGAAATAAGAAAACAAATGGATATAGTTTTGTTGGTGTGTGTAAAAGAACTAGCTGGATCGCATAGTTAGATGAAAGAAGATTTGAAGAAGATTTGTTCCGTTGAAATTCCTATAAACGAAGAGACAAATCTCATTCCTCGTGTGATCAAAAGTAATAATATAGCTTTTGGCACTCACAGGAATCGATTCGAAAACTGTTGGTACTAATATACAAAACTTAATTTTCACAAGCATACACAAAGATGCTCTAGTATTGTTGAAGATTAGACTATCAGCAGTGGCAAATGTGTTTGTGTGGGTGTAAGTATTTTTTTAGTATTATAATTTAAAGCAAAAGAGAAAAGAGAAAAAGAAAGAAAGAGAAAGATAGAGAGAAAAATTGTTACACCCGAGTGTAAACTTACACCCGGGTGTGAAGAGAGAGACAATTTTTTTGTTTTTTTAATACTTACACCCCAAGACTCACACCCACCTGCTTGCTCCACTGCCCATGCCCTTACTACTCTATAGCTAATGGACCAATATTCAGATATTTGCTTCATTTGTTTTTGTTTTCTATATTGGAGGTTAATTAACAAGTATGATGATCAGGGATATCATAATTAGCATAAACAATTGATGCATTTGACTCGATTATAGAATAAATATCATTTAAAATTTTTATATATATGCACCTAAACTAGAACTCTTAATCTTTTGCTCTAGATATGTAATAAAATATTTACCCATAATTTTAAATAGTTTAAAAGAGTATTAGCTAGCCATGCCCATACGTAAACCCTAAAAGATCAGATTATGTCTTAAACAAATTCTATAGATATGGCTAAGCAATTAAGCAATTAAGCATGGCTTTTCCAAAAATTTGTAAAATAGTGCTCCTTTAGTTTGAATATAATGCAGCTTAATAAGGGTTTCTTCGGCTCCCATGAAAACGTATGATGTGCCTTTTTTTTTTTTCGTCTGAAAGATTATATATCACGGGTGAAATACGTTGTCGGAATACAAAGGCCGGCGGGAATTTAACCCCCAGAAACTAAGCCGGCGGGACTCTAACCCCCAGAAACTGAGCCCCAAACACGGGGAGACAAACAAAAGAGAAAAACTAAAACTGAAAATATCTAAACATGATTAAAATGATTTAACACAGAGATACAAATTCCTTATTATCCGAGCCAATCGAAATCGCAAAACTAGCTGGAAGTCGACGAAGGAGCTGACCACCACCCAGAAAGTCTCCTATCTACAAGCCTCACTTGTTAATTAAGAGTATTCGGAAGAAAAACCTTGGGATACCTTGGATGGCGGGACGGTGGAACCTTGGCCAAACTTGCAAAGACCGTCGGAATCGCCGGGCCGGGAATGTCAACTAATGGACGTGAACCGGTATAAGGACCCAAACCTAGGCGGATCTCGCCCTAGATCCGTTTGTTGAAGCTGTGTGAGAAAACCTGAGAATTAGGTCGCCCAAACCGAATCACCACCACACCGACAGTGGGTGGCTTAGAGCCATCGCGGTTAGGGCCAGGGAGAACTCTGGCAAATAAGAAATAAGAACCTGCAATAAAAACCAAGCAACCAAACCCTAGATCTGAAAAGAGAGAAATCTGAGAAGGAAACGAAAAACGAAACCAATCCCCAGATCTCTCCACACACAAACCCAGAACTAGTTAACTAAACAAAAGCTGAAAAGCCAACCGACGCCGTGGCCATGGTGGCCCACACGCGCCGGTCGGAGACACAAAACCAGCGGCGAGTTTGTTGAAGAGAGAAGGGTGTTGTTGTACTCTTAATATCCAAAATTTATGTGATTTTGACCCGACGTATGATGTGCTTTAGTCCAAAACTTTTCAAACAAAAACCAAAAAAGATAAAATTATAGAATGACTTTTTCTAGAACCGGACGGTGGTCGGTCCAACCTTCCCACCTTTCCAATATTAAGATTAAAAAGATTATTTACATAAACTTCTTTTTTAATTCAATTAAACTATTAATCCATGCTAACTATTTTTTTTATCCATGCAAATCTTGTTTTTGTAAAAAAAATGTAAAATCTATATTATTAATTGGGAATCACTAAATATTAAGTAATCTTATGAAGAGTAAAATATTACAAAAAATGTCATTGGTTTTTAGTATTTTTAAATAACTTCATTAAGGGTACAATAGTAATCACAAAATTAATATATTTAATTAAAAATAGTTTAACTCTTTTAAATAATTATTAATTTCCAAAAAAACACTAATTTTCTCTCTTTTATTAATTATAAACGAAAATTTGAAATTAATTTTTAAAAAATTGTTAACCAATAAGAATTGAAAAACTAAGATTTGATATCCAACTAAGATTTTATCTAAACCAATCGTAATAGAATATTCTATATCAAAAATAAAAAGAAAAATAATATCATTTTAATTCAAAATTAAAAACACTATCGTTTAAAAGATTTATCAATGGAAGACTTTAAGATTAAATTTAAAATTAAATACAAATATTTTAAGATTCAGTTTTGTTCTAATATTTTCACAAATTTTAAAATATAAAACAAAATTTTATTTCACAATTTCTAAAATACGATATTAGATATTAACAACTATTTATATTTATGATGAAATAAACTCAAATAATAATAAATTTAAAGTAATTATCATTATAACCTTCGTTTAGAGCAAGTTTGATAAATATCTATCAATAGATTGTATATATTAATTTCTAAATTATTTTGCGTTTTATTTTTTGTTTTTCAACCGGATCTTCCTTAAATAAATCCCTAATATATTGCACACAGTTTTCAAATAATGTAAACTAATTATATATTTTGAATTCAAAACAAATTATGAAGCAATAGCATATCCCTTTTAGAGATGTATCTCAAATTTTTATTTTTAGTCCAAAAATCAAATTAATTATGATTAAACAATAAAAAGAAAAATATGCAAAATTTAGCTAAGAAAATAAATATTAATAAATTTTTTAAAATATATTTGTAACTTTAGCAGCATTTATATTAATCTGTAAAACTCACAGTATGTATTGTATGATATTTAAAAGTAAGCAAACAAGAATTTGGAAAATAATTTTAATGGAATGAAATGAGAATAGGAATTACGAGACGGGATGAGAGGAAAACATAAATTAAAAATCAAACTAAATACCCAATTGGTATGAGTTCAGGTTATGAGCACTATATAAAATAAATTTGTTTACATACATAACCTTGTACGTACATTTTCAGTTACACATATTCTATTTATGCCGGATACTGGACCATCATATTTTTATTTCACGTATACGAGACGGTTTATGGGACCAAGAATTTATGACAGATACATGACGGGATAGGTTTCCCGTTCTAAAATAGTTCCTAGCTAATATACATGAAATAACCAAACTCAAACCGAATCTAAATCCTATTTAACACATGTAATCAAACTATTAGAAATGTTTTGATTAGTTTAGAAAATAAAAAAGTAACATCATTTAACTTTTGCAACTAAATTATATCTTAATTTTATCTTAAATATAATTATGCACGTACGTGTAGGTCCGGATCTTAAAATATAACTATGCACTAACGCAACTGAATTTCGTTCATTACTCTAATTTTATAATATTTATACTATTATAAAGTTCACTAACACAACAAAATATTTTATATTTTTAAAACATCTCTGCACGTACGTGTGAATCCATATCTAATACACTAAAATATATATCATAGAAACAACGAATAATCTATATTAAATTAAAATTTGTTAGAACTTTTTTAAGAATATGAAACCCCGCACGTATATGTGCGGGTCATGATCTAGTCTATACTATTAATTGGGAATCACTAGATAATAAAAAACCTTTAAGTTGTAGAATATTACATAGAATGCTATTGATTTTTTTTTCAATTTGAAAAAAGAAAAAAACAATTGAAAAAATCGAAATTAAAATTAATAAATTAATAACTGCCTAATATTTTTGGAGATTGTTTAAAGAAGATTCCATAATAAATCAAGCTATTTAATTGAAAAAAAAAAATATATATATATATATATGTAAACTTATTTATTTTGGTAATATATTATTAGATATTTCTGGAAACGACAATCTAATTTAATAACAAATTTTTATTTAGTTTATATTTTAAAAGATTTTCTTAACAAAACTATGCTAATTAATTCTGATTAAATCACATGAAAAATAAAAGATTTCAAATTTTATTTTCCAAATATAAAAAAAAACATTTAGTATATTTATCATATATAATCTAAACTAAATACTTTCATCCTTTTAAATATAGCACATTCAACAAATAAGTTTTGGATTTTAGATATGTAAATATCTAGAAAATATTTGCAGTATACATTAAAATATTTTTTTTAAAAACGGGTAGTTTTCAATATTTTAAATATATATTACTAAACTAAATTTGAATTATATAAAAGAAAATATATTTTTGAAATGTATTATATTAGTTACTATATCTCCAAATAAGTTAATATATTTCTTACCAAAAAAAAAAAGTTTAATATATTTCAAATCAAATAAATTATTTTATTTCGTATCAAATTGTTACAAGCTTTTGGAATATACATTCTTCTAAATTTGATTATTTTCTTTTTCAAAAAATATTAAAATATAATTTAAATATCATTATGCATACATCCACGTTGATTATCTCATAGTTAATCTAGAAAATCGATTATTTAAACAATAGATGGAGATCTAAAAGTAAATTACTTCATGTTCTTATGATGTTTATCTCCTAATTTTACTAACCTCCTATGCATATCTTTATGGTTTTTGGTTTTAGGGTCAACACTAGATCACAAGTCGCTTATTGATCCATTCACAAAGAAAATATATTTCATAAACGTTATCATATATTTAATTTTGTATCTGTTAAACACATTTTAATCTCTCTTTTTTATTGTCTATTGGCCAAAGCAAGAGATTTGATTGTAAGGAATTCAAGACATAAAACTGACTTCGTATGGATGTTTATCATGTTTGGTGCTATAAATATTATATTCATTCATTTACGGTTCTTCTTATTTTCTTATCATGTTTGATTCTAAACACTTTTTATAGAAGTTATCTTTATTTATGTTCCTCAGTTAAGTATTTAAATTATACTGTATTGAGTTTTCTTTTTCAGGTTCAACATTTGATACAGTAGATTATAATTTATATACTACAATATATATCAACAAAATAATCTATATTTACTAAAACTTTATTACAATACATTTCTTAAAATACGAAATCCGTCATGATCTAGTTTATTTAAAAAAAAAAAAACTGTGTTACGCAAACCAAACATCCAAACAAGTACAACCATCATATTTTCTATCCCTATCTCGCGGATGGAGGATACACGGTTTTCGAACCAATTTGTCTAGATTTTGAATCATTCGGGGTGGTGGAGTCGGTGATTCTCCATGCCTTGTACAGTTTTTTTTCCTCCAAATCCATGCAAATCTTTGATACGTGGCAAAACATAAATTTGACAAAATCAATCGCTGAGCTCGACAAATCATATAATCTGGATTCTAAAACCAAAGGCATCTTAATTTTGTTTCAATGGAGGTGTGGCTACGGACAAGGTCCTACGGATAGTTACGTCCGTTTTGTTTGCTAACGTAAAAAGAGCGACGCGGAGGAACGAAGTAAGTAAATGCAGAATATGAGTAAAGGAAAGAATCGAACATTATAAAAGTTTGAATGCGAATAAATTAGTATCATCCACTTATCACCAGATTAAAAAAAAAAAAAAAAAATCTGTTATATATATATTCTTCTTCTAGTGGATCATACATATGTAACCAATCTTTCTATACTTTCCCGGTCACAATTTGGAATCACCTTTTGTTAGATAGTCCAAAACTTGAATATCAACCTTTCACTTGAGATGATTCCAAGAGAATCACTTTTATTTACACTAATACAAAATTTCAAATTCCAACAAATAACAAAAATTCAAATAAAACGAACTTGTTTACCCATAGGTTATATAAGTTACTTATGACACAAAATTTATAGTGCTCATATAAGAGAGATGTGATACATGGACATTCAGAGAATCAGAGTCCGAGTCCACATTTAAACCGGAACCAAACCAAACTAAACCGGAAACTGAATAGCTAGTCACTCGTAGGGATCAGTTATGCAAAAAAAAAAAAACAAAGGCAGCTTTTGGTTTTGCAAAAGCTAAGTTGCGTCAGGCAAGACAAGGCAAGGCAAAGTCAGAGAGAGTACAATGTCGCATGTGAAACCTTTGTGTCCTGTCTCTTTCACTACCCACTAATTCTAGTATTTCAGAAACAATAAGACAACAACACTGTAAAAATTTTAAGGAAAATAACTCAGTTGAGTAAATCAGTGAACTTCTCTGTTTGCTGCTTGTATCTTCTTTACCTATTCAACACAAAGATTCAAAGTTACTTTCATTTGTTTTCTAAGAGAGTTATGATGATGCCAGTGGAATCTGTCAGTGATTGCTTCTCCACACAACACACTGTAAGAAAAAAAAAAAGGTAAACTGAGAGACTTACCTTTCATGGTGAAAACAAGTAAAAGATAAAAGATAAACATTAGAACTCACAACAAATCTCTGTCTTAAAAATGGTTCCAGATATCAAGACTTTAAATTAAAGTAAGTGATCTCATTTGTTCTATCTCCATCTTTCAATCTGTTATACCTCCACTTTCACAGAGAATCTTTATATAAGCAATGGTGATAAAAGCTAACTCAAGAAAGAAATCAAAAGGGTTAGATCGTATATAAGCATCTACTCTATTCGTTTGTTTGTCCTGGTCCATACACATGATAATATCCATGTCTAAAAAAATAAAGATCAGATCCTAAGATTATGGTAAATGCATTTCCAATAAGTGTCTAGCAAAAAAAGACTCAAGGTTTGCAAGAAAACGAATTCAATAGTCACATCAATTTATTAGGAAGACGTTTGTTTTGTTCCTAAAGAACAAAAAGATTGTTATGAGTTAAGCCCATGTGTAAATTATGGACCTTGATGTACTATTGCACACAGTGGCAGGCCAATAAAGACTTATAAGGCAATCATTGATATCTTGAAGAGAAAAAATATCTTACATTTGAAACAAAATTTCAGATTGGAACTTTAACACTAAACTGGAAAAACTTATCTTTAGTTTTCATATTTCTATCAACTATATATTAAATCTAAGATTAAACAAACAAATGAAAATGTTAATAACACAAGTTTCTCTAATGCCTATCTATATATCTAATTTTCTTTCTTTCTAACTTTTTATTTTTTATTTTATTTTCTGAGCTAGCACATCAACGTAATCATGCACTTATTCCACCAGAGAAACGTACAAGAGCACAGTGGTCCATCTCCCTACTTTACTTCACCTTTTAAACTCTTCAAAAATCTTCAATATCACCAAGTCCCATTCCTCAACCATTGCTTAACCTATTAGAGTTTCTTTTCTCCAACAAACCATCTTTTCAAGACTCCAACTTCAAGCTTTCTTTAACTCAAAAAATGGAGGGTAAAAGAACACAAGGACAAGGGTACTTGAAAAAAAAGTCTTACCGTGTGGAAGAAGAAATGGAGTATGATACGGATGGAGAAGAGGAAGTTGGTAGGGAAGAAGAGAGGAGGAAAGGAGTGATGGATAGAGTTAGAGGGTCTAGTGGCAGCATCGATCGTGGTGGCTCGTCGCGGCTTTGCCAAGTAGATAGATGCACATCTGATATGAAGGAGGCAAAACTGTATCACCGGAGACACAAAGTGTGTGAAGTTCATGCAAAGGCATCTTCTGTCTTTCTCTCAGGACTTAACCAACGCTTTTGTCAACAATGCAGCAGGTAACGTACAACATAATATGTCCTTAACTAAACTTTTTTCTGGATCTTTGAATGGTGATTTTGAGTTTTTGAAACAGGTTTCATGAGCTCCAAGAGTTTGATGAAGCAAAAAGAAGTTGTCGTAGGCGCTTAGCTGGACACAATGAAAGAAGAAGGAAGAGCTCTGGTGAGAGTAGTTTTGGAGAAGGATCAGGTCGGAGAGGAATCACTGGTCAGGTGATCCAGAATCAAGAAAGATCAAGGGTAGAGATGACACTTCCTATGCCAAACTCATCATTCAAGCGACCACAGATTAGATAGAGAAGCTGTCTGCTCTCTCTCTTCTGTCATCTAAATTTCTCTCTTAGAATATCTGAAATTGTGGTATCTAACAATGTCGAAATCAGCTGAGTCATATATAGTATTGACTCCTAGTATAGAGAAATAAATCACTGCCACCACTCTCTAGTACTCTCCTATGTTATCACTTATATGCAAATGCTAAGACTCTACTTGAACCTTGAATGTATTTTTCAAAGATATGGTTAATGATTTGTGTAATACTTCTGCCTTGTCGATGTGTGAATGCTAATTGGTAAAGGTTTTCAATACAGATACGAGCAAGGAGTGTGTCTTATCCAGAAACACAGGGGACTACTAAGTACTAACCGAAAGCCACGGTCACTTTGAAGTTTGAGAACCACAAATTAAATGAGATACTTTGCTGAAGATTTCATATCTTTTATACACCGTCAATCGAGTTGACGGGTACTTGGTTTGACGTACACTACAAGTAGTATAGAATACAAGATTTGAATAATCAACGACCATTATCAGTAAATTGTTGAGTAGATTATAGTAGAAGCAAACCTTCCAGGGTCCATTACTTGCTATGATGAGAAACTTTGCGTCATCAATAATTATTTTATGCCAAATTAATGCATCCTTATAGATGTTTTCAAACAAATTGGAGCACAAGTAATTGGATAATGAATGTAGCAAACAGACTATAAAGTGAATATGAAAACGACCTAATCCTCCATCTCTAACAAGTTTATACATTTAAGTGAAAGTTTTTAAAAGAGTTGTCGCTATACGTTCTTTGAAATCCAGATTCACCCTCAAGCTACTACTGCAAAATTTTAATAACTACTCTTAAAGAAACATCATGTTAAACCTAAGATCTTATCAAATGAACTGATTCTCGTGAACTAATAGGAACAAAAAAAAAATACAAAGATCGAAACAAAAAAAAAAGCGAAAGGCGTTGATTCAAGTAGTAACAAGTCGATGAAGTACGAGTGATTTAGATTTTGACGGATTTAGGGTTTAGAGATCAAAACGCTAATAATTTTAGCCAAATCCGAAAATGCAACAAAGGATGTCCAAGCCTTTGTGGTCTAGTGGCAGATGAAGCTTTGGTGAAGGGTGAAACTCCCAGACCCGAGTTCGATTCTCCCTGGAAACAAAAACACATTTGTTTGGAAAGTCTGTCAGTTGGGCTTTGGCCCAATTGGTTTACCTGGTAGTCAGAAATGCAGGCGGCCTGACTACCCCCTGGCATTAGTCGGAAGGCATTCCAAACTCGGATCATGCAGTGTGGTGGCCCAATTCTACCTGGATCAGGAGAAGTCCACTCGGTAGCACCTCGGTGCGTTCTTACCGAGGCTGACCGGATCAGCCGATAGGGTTTATAAAAAAAAATGCAACAAATGATAGAGAGAGAGAAACGACTCAACGAGACTATATCCTAACTGGCCCAATTAGAGCCCAAAACTATGGTGGGCTTACCTCATTAAGATATCGATATGATTCTAAACCTTTTTTTTTTTTTTTGCTTATGCTAAATTGCTAATATAAAGTTTTATTCGTTTTATTGTTGACAACAACGAGTCAACGACCAGCAATTAGCAATTTAGCTATATCTTTATTATTCGTTTTGTTTAATATAATAATCAACAATTATGGTTTTTGTATTGGTTTAGCGATTAGCGGACCATAACTTTCAATCATTAACAATTTTTTTAGCTTTTTAAATTTTAACTAAAAACAGTTTAATGTTGCTGATGACTACAAAACGAATATGATTTAGTCGTTGTAATATGTTGTTGCTGCAGATACGTACGACTACAAAACAAACAAAATTTGATATCTATTTTTGCTATCGATGTTGCTTATAAGTTTATAACTACCAAACGAACATCGCATAATTGATCTTCTTTATCAAAAAAAAAAAAAAAACATCGCATAATTCTCTCGTTCTTTTCCAGAAACATATAATAACACTATATAAACTGCAAGATTACATGTCTTGGTCATGTTATCGTAACTTTAATAAACGTAAAACGTGTATTGGCGTAACTACACAACCAGCTTCTTCCAATTACCGAGTCATAATTACGTTAGGTTCATTAAACGTTAAGCAAAATGGACGAGTCTACAATGAAAAAAGAAAGTAAAAGATTATTAAGCATGGGTGTTAATGATAATTGGTGGTCCTAGCTAATCCCTAGAGAATGGGCCAGTGATGTGTCCTAAAGAAAGACCCGAATTGGAGACAAAAAGCCACATAAGGAGATCTTTGTCTTGAATTTTGCTTCGGTTAGAAGTGTACTTTCTTCTTCCTATCGGCTGGAACAAACATTAAGATTGTGAATGCATAATAAATATAGTTGCTGGTGCGTTTGTTACTAAGCTTTAGTATAATCAGTACGGTTAATTGGAACATTATGGTCAAAGTATTACTCCCTCCAATTTCCAAACTACATATTTTAGATTTTTATTTTCTTTTACAAAGATATAGATGCATAAATTAAAATCATAAAGACAAAAATTAGCTAAATTTTCGACTAGTTTTGTTGGAAGCTGATGATCATGGTAGTTATGATTAGAAGTTTTGATTTATAATTGTAAAAAATTGTATTGAATATTGAAAATGTCTGTTGAGTAAGCACAAAGTCATGATCACGTAATTAGATCAAATAACAGAGACAGAAAACAGACAGAGTCTTGAAAAGAGCTAGAGATCGAGAAGAATTGACTATGACTAGTCTCTTGTGTTTATTATGGTTAATCCATAACTAGAATTTCTCACCTAATAAAGGATTTGCTTCAATGCGCCTTGATTTTTTTTGTAAAATATGATTCTTGATATTATAGATATAATGTGTTATATTCTTATTTTTTGGTCAAATCATATAATGTATTCAAATTAATATATTGAAAAATATATATTTGATTTTGCTCGCAAGACCTGAAGTAAGAATTTATCTTCATTTGTCAGCATTTTTGTGACATACATATTTGTTAGATGTGTATGTAGATAACATTTTAAGTAAATCACTAAGTAAATGTGTGTTTTTATTATAAGAGTAACTAATGAAGTGTGTCTCAAACTCTCAATCTAGACCACAACTAAAGTACTAAATCTTAATATATGCACTATATATTCCATTTGCATATGATACCAGTTAGATTACCAATAGATAATTTGTTTACTCTTCTTTTAAGTATCTTTTATATATAGACTTCATAAAGCCATTGTTGCTTTCTGCTTAAAACTTTTAAGAGTATTTTTGGGAGACCGTGTCCCTCACTACGAGAACCTCAAAGAGTATGTGCCTCTGACTTGTGAGCTGTAGACTTCTATAAAAAAAATTCATCAAACAACAAATCTAATCAATAAAGTACTTAAAAATCAAATTAATTTTGTATAGTGTTATCTATATAATTTATTAAATTATCTAGATAAATATCTTGTTATTAAAGATCTAATATAGGCAACATGTGGGATCGTTTAGGGATCCACAACACTTTAGACAATATCATGACATGAACACCATAACCATTACTACTTCACTTGGATCTCATTCTTCTTATGCCCCCACAAAAAAGTCAAGCACTGATCTGGCAAGTCTTTGACTGCCGTACCCATTTCGCCACGTGTCCAACTTTAACTCTATTCCTCCTATATATAAACACAACTAATAAACAGTTAAACACATTCATATGGACACAAGTAACGTTTTGAAGATGGAGGATGACCAACAAAGTACCCCAAACTCCGGTGAGACCAAGCCGGAAACGTCCGTGGAGACATCATCACCATCGGACTTTGAGTTTGGATCATTGACTCCCTCATCTCCATCACAAGACCCCTTCTCGGAAAATTCTCCCGCCGATCATCTTTTTCTCAACGGCCGTCTATTACCGCACTCTTTTCCGACGAGCACGACGACGACACGTTCAGTGTCACGTACGACCAGCGATAACACTTTTCGGAGCAATAGTTCGAGCAGCCGAAGCAGTTATAGCAGCAGCCCGACATCTTACACTCCAAGAACAAGCACTTGTAATATCTTCAAGATCACGAGTTCTAGTACCGGACATGTGAAAGAGACTAATTTAACATGTTTTGGTACTCGGTCCGAAGAGATTATGTGTCTGAGGCCCGTAACTTCTTTGAAGAAAACAAACACTTGCAGCAGCAAAGAATACTATAACAAGCCATCGTTAATATTGGATCTAAAGAAGAGACCACCGGTGAAAAATGGTAAAGCCGTAAATACTTCAACCACAAATAAGGTTTCGTCTTTGCCGCAATGCAAGAGGAAGAAGGCGACGGAGATTGTGACAGCGCAGCTTTACGGGTCGTATTCACGGCGGTGGCAGCATATAACTCCGGTCTTTAAAAGAGAAGGATCGGTGAAAAGTAGAGGAGGAGGGATTAAGGTCGGTGGACGGAAGAAGAAGACGACGAGGAGGAAGAAGCCAACGAAGGCGGAGGAGAGAAGAGGAATGAGTAAGTTGATGAAGTGGTGGAAGAGGATTTTAAAGGCGGTGGTGTTTGCTTGCAGGGAGTGTCATGCAATGGAGCCTCAGATACTTGTAAATGATGATGCTGATGTGAAAAAGAAAATAACTAAATGTCCATAATCAAAAATTTCAATGTTTTTCTAATGTTTTCCATGTTTTTTTTTTTTTGTCTTCTTCTAGTTTGTGTAAAGAAATTTTACAAATATCTATTAGATCAACTTTTGGAAAAAATTGAATACATATTTATTATGATTTTAGTCAAAAATACTAGTTTTGGATTTTTTTATCAAGTGACTCGAATATTTTCCTCATTTTTAGTTAAATAATTATTTCAGATCCGTGTTCAAAAAATTGCTAGACGCTAGTCGGGCAGTGAGGGTGGGGCTAGCGCCTAGCAAGAAAATCGGAGATTAAATGGAGATTAATCGAGATTAGTTTTAGGGCTATTTAATGTTTGAAAAACATAATATCGTTTTAAAAATTACATTAAACACATTAAAACAAGATTTTAAGCTCAAAATTATGATTTTTTATACAAATTACGAATATAAGTGGGATGTTTCGAATTTTAGATTAAAACAAAAAAAATTGGGCTATGCGCCGTCTAGGCGGCCGCCTAGCCCGCCTAGGCGAACAAAAATCGGACCAGTGATTTTTTTTTACCGATTTGGACAAAATCGCCGCGATTCCCTTCCGACCAGTGCCTAGGCGGCCGATTTTTAGAACAAGGCTTCAGATTTTGTAAACATAAGAAAAATACACAACAACAAAATTTGCACTATTCACCAAAAAAAAATAGCACTAATCAAGGGAAAATGGTCATTTAATTCCCCTACTATTTGCAATCGACACTTTTATTCCCGAACTTTCGTGTGAACAAATTAATTCTTCAATGTGTAGTTGACTTAACACTTTTGGACAAAGAAATAGTCAACGTCAATTAGTTAACAGCGACATTAAAAGCTCGATTAAAAACTTCATCAGCTCAAAAAATCCCCAATTATTCTTCTTCTTCCCCCCAAATTGAAACCTAGGGTTCTTAGGCTATTTTAAAAACGATGAATCCGGAAATTGAGTTCGATTGAGAGCGATTCCCGACATACAACTGAGATTTCATCTACCATCTCCTGCGATTTTGTTTTAGGATTCAGTCGCAGTCTTTCTTCATACAACTGAGAAATAGTTCCGCTCTTCAACAGCTTTGTGTAACCAGATCTTACACAAACATG